ACTAAAGCTTTTAACAACACCACTATACTCTCCTTTTAACTCGTCTTATTATTCCTTTTTTAGTATCTCAAAAAAGATGGTATATGCACGAAAACAAAGAATATGTATATACTCCATGATAAGATACTTGAATATAGATAAAAGTCCACAACAGGAAAAAGATAATATATGCACAAGAACAAAGGGTATGTATATACCTCGAGTAAGTTATTCGAATTTAGATATCGATATCCCTATTTGTAAAAAGTACAACATATCAAATTAGTTTTGCGGTAAATATAAATATGAAATTGATAGAATAAAAAATAATGTTATGTATCTGCTTTTGAGAAATTTTTCACATAGATATGCAGGATGTAAGGGGTACTAATTAAATTTAGTAATCGGTGTATCGCATGACCAAATGATACATGCAAATTTCTATTATATGAGTAGTACACTCGAAGCTCTGCTTCTTCGAATTCCTTCTAAGTCACACATATCATATGGTAGGTTAATTATTTTAGCAGAAACGTCAAGTTACACAAGTTATCTAATCAATTATGATCACTGGTGCGAGTGGTAAATCCTCAAATCTTTTTTCAATATGGGTTAAAACCTTTCTCGATAATATCTTAGATGGAGGTACATCTATCAACACTTTCTTAGCATCACCCTCTATACATATATATACCCACATTATATGGATCAACCCTCCTCCTTTATAATTATGTCCATAATGTTGTAAAAATTGATATTTGTTCATTACAATATCCGTCATCTCCTCTTGACCTGTTATCAATTCCCGAAAAAGCTATTTATCCTCATCTGTGATTGGGAGGTGAATTTCCTCAGGCTTAAAGCCTATATATTGAGATAATTTTTCATGTAATTCAGACATTATATAATAAACACATAATAATTATTAGTAAAAATGGTTCGTTATCGACATCTGCTCATGTTAAAAATCTTATAACTATTTACCAGTGCAATTTACTTATGGAATAAGGGTACTTACATGCCTGAACCAGTTTTGATACTTGAGAAGGTAGACATATAGTGGCTATATTCTGAGATTAACAACGTTTTCAACAGTTCTGATGATATATGTATGATATATATATGATATATAACTAGAATCACTAAATATGAAGGGCTTCTATTGTAAAGGTGTGTATCGAATATATACATTATTCATGGAGAATCTAAATCAACAAAAATTGAATTCAATATATTCTAGAATATAAGTTATTAAATCTAATAAGTCTAAATTCCCTATAAATCACATAATCAACTAAATCTCATATAATCGATAAATAAGTCATAAAATGAGTGATTTTAGTAGTTTAGTAGCCCATCAAAGTTCTAAGTGTTCAGACGAAGAATGGACTGAATATTGTTAGATGGGAAGTATTAGGTCAGATGAAATGCCTGCTGAATGGAGAGATCGAATTCTACCTCGTCTTATACATTTCAAAGAAAATGATCTTTTACCTGTCGGAGATAAGCATCTCACCCACGCAAGGAGATTATTTAGGTATTCAAATGGGACAACATACGCACCTGAAAACGGGTTTGCTATTTGTCACAAGTGTAATTAACTTGTATATATTGGAAAGAAAGTTGGAGGATATAATTATGGCGATATTTTGAAACATTGGATTACAAGCTGTTCTGTTTACAATCACATCAGTTTTGAAGAGGTCAAGAGGCTTAAACAAAAGTCCAAATCTCAACACTCAACTGATGATATATATGTATTACATGAGTATGAATTGTGGATAGAAAATGCTATTAGAAAAATCGAACGTGCAAGAGAAGTTGGTAAAAAGATTCAAGTTGCAAAGGTCATACAATAGAAATGGTTAGAAATTTTCTACAGACCCGAAGGTATGTGTGCTATGCAGTTAGCCGAGCATTACAAATTATTATGAGCAGTTAAGGAAGAAATGTAACAAATTAACAATGTATAGCTTAATTTATTGCTTTGCAGCCACGGGCTATAACATACCATTTATCCGATTAATATATCTATTTATTTATTATATAACTTATTCATATATATATATATCTTTAAAATAAAACCATCTAAGGTATCCCTTGAGGGCTAGTACTTTAGACCTTTATTCACTACTATTTCGTGATGATTAATAACTTTTTTTTTGTTAAAATTTATGAAGTTTTAGATGTACAACATATATTAGATCGAATTATAGTTTAACAATAAATAAAGGACTCGAAAGTCCTGATCAAATTATCATTTAATATATAAGCACTTCGCAACTGCTTTTGGTAATTAATATACATATAACGGATTTCACACTATTTTTTGTTTTAAGCTACAAACTTTTCAGAATTCTATAGAATTCGACAGAATTTTTAACTCGGTGTATCAAATGAAATTCAATCGAGCATATACAGATTTAATAAAGCAGTTATCGTCTTCCTTAGTTGAAAAATCGTGGAAACGTCTAACTACAAGAAAGCGTAATCCACTGACAGAATTAAAAGCATGTGGTATAGACACAAATATTGAAGATTTTTTGCAACATGAAATTATAGTTTATAATAAGAAAAAAGAACGTCAGCGTCGAAACCCATCACTACTTGAAAATTTATCATATAGTATAATCATGACTAATCAGAAAATTCAAATCCAAGATACTGTCCTGACCTGTAATCGGACACATAACTGCTCTTGCTTTGCATGTGAGGAGGCGATCAATTCTCGAGTTAAAAAAGAGTTAGATAGTTTATCCCTACAATTGCTTGAATACAATGAAAAAACTTTTGGTTCCTTTATGCGAGAAATCATTAAATAGCTTGAGAAGCGGTTAATGCTAATAATACATTGCGTAGTGAAATCGATCAACAAAAATTAAAATTGCAAAAAGCAGAAAAATTACTTGCAAGTCTGAAGTCCCAATAATAAGTAGTGAGTATATTGATGTTGCACTTTATTCATCTAATTTCAATAGGGTATCTCATCCTTTGTAAAGATAAAGAGTGTCTTCTTTAGCTCTAGTTAAATCGATAACAATAAATTCCCTACCTTGTAAATTTTTATTAGCGGAGCTGGTACGGCCAATAATCTTAGACACTTTTTTTCTGTATATAAATAACTCCCAAAATCAAATAGATTTATTAATAAGTATAGTCATAATCTCTCGATGCTTGTAGTATATCACAACATCTTTCACAAACCATCCAAGGATATTTGAGGTTTAAAGACACTGATTGATTATAGTTCTTTTTCCCATGAGCAGTGATCTGATAATTCGGGTATTTTTTCATCAAATCTCCTATACTCACATTTTTATTCTTTGTCACATATGCTTTATGAATACTATCTATTATAACTTTTATTGCATTCTTATCATACGTATTAGAAGGCTCCAGTTCAAGAGTGATGGTATCTGATTTCTTAAATTTATGACCACCACAAAATCTCATCCCTGCCACCATAAAGGAATGTGTAACAATATAATCTAATACAATGGTGACGATATTTCCTTACAACTACAACAAGTATTAGACATGATTAAAAACTATTATATTTTTGTATACAAATAATATTCAAGTTCAAATAAATAATATCAGTTATCCGGTCTACATATTCCGTAACCGATTACTTTTTTTACCTATACTCAATTCGCGTCTAAATACCATGAACCATATAACAGCAATAATTAGTAAGATAAGTAATATATATGCTGATAATAGTGACATTAAACCACTTGCTACAACAGGAGTTGCTTCTATTCCTCCTACCGAAATCTGAGGATGTGATTTAATCGGAGATGAAGTATAGTTATCTACTTGTGCAAGATATGGGGGCACACTCTTGGATATATTCGATGGCACATCAGAGCTTATATGTGTGACATCCGGAGGTGCATCAAGTATTATAGATACATCTAGCTTATCATCATCACTAATTTCACTAATATTGGTCATGCCAGCTCTGCTAATTCCATCACTCACCTTGATAGTATTCTCGGTATCGACTTTTGGTAGTTCACTAATCTCATCATGTCTCTTTGAGGTGTCTAAACTGAAGGATAATTGTTTTGCAATAAAGGCCTGATATATGTCAGAATATGTGCCTTGGCACTAGCTTCGAAATTATCATCATTTTTTTTGACCTCTTCTATAATTTTTTTGCATGCTAGATACGGTCTAAGACTTTTGCTAGGCTCAATAACTGTAGATATATTAGATGCAAAAACACCCTCACTCTGTGAGTCAGACTTGGTTGTATTTTTTATTGTGGGAACAGCTCTAATGGGAGTACCTTTCCAAGGCATGAGACTCTGCCCCTCGTCATCTCCACCAACTATGGGATTCGATATAACCTCTGATTTTAGACGCCCAAGCTCACTAATTTTTGATAACAGTTCACTTTTCATTTGTTCTACTTTAGCTATTTTGGATTTAAGGGACAATATCTTGGAATCTTTTTTCAATGAGTTATTTTGAATCGAAAATACATCCTTCCATGCTAAAATCAACTTACCTTCCAATATCTTGATCATAGACTCAAGTGATTTAATTTTTTTGGATTTTATATCATTCATAACATTAGATTTAGCAAGAAAAAGATCTTTACGAATATTCTGAGAGATAAGGTTAGTATTTTCAATCTCCAACCGCTTGGTCTCATCAATAAGTTCTAAAGCGTGGGTATGTAACTTTTGTTTATCACTATTAACATTATCAAATGTACTTTCCCATTGCTTTCTTTCCCGATTCCATCCCTTTCTCTCCCAATTAAAATCCTTCACTTGCTTAGAGTATTTATCCTGTAATTTCTCGGTAAGGTCATTGATTTTGACTTTGGATTTGATGATATTATGTAATTCTTTTTCCAGCTCTTGTTCATGTATACTATCAAATCGATAGCCTTTAATGTTTTGCAATGTATGTACATTAGTCATATATTCTTTGATTAAACTATGTATAACAGAAATAAGATAAATTGTAAAATTTCAGATCTATAAAAAATACTATCTATACTCTACATATCATGAATACTATGAATACTATCTATACTCTACATATCATGAATACTGTGAATACTATCTATACTTTACATAGTATATGTAATATGCGTACTATATGTAGGTATGAAATATGCATATTACAAATATTGGTATCAATAGTATAGGTAGTATAAATATTGGTATCAGTATTATGGATACTATAATTATTTTTTATATATAATTTTTTATATCAATAGTACTGATAATACAAAAGTATCAATATGGTTAATTATACACATAGAAGGCGTATGCGATCTGACGCGCCAAAATTATCTCCTTCAGATTATGATGATATTATGCAATATTGTGATATGAAGTCCAAACCTTTAAAAGACTTATGTAAAAAATATCGTATATCAAATACTCAATTATATCAGATATGGAGAAGGGTGAAATTTGAAAGGATCGAATGGTGTCAATCTATACCACCTGTTCCTTCGACTTTATCTGAAAATTCTAATCGAATTGAAAACGAGGTTTTATTGCAGAGCAGGTTATTAAGTGATAAATTGGAGATTCGAGGCTCTGCCTCTTCTTTGAATTATAATTCTTCAAACCTACATCTGGAATATGATATCCTCCCCAACAAAGAAATGAAAAAGAAAAGTTTCAAACCTAGAACAAAATCTGTTCGCATATCTGATCCAATACCTACTAGCCACATTGTGTCTGCCACCAACAATAATTCTACAGAAGAAATATGTGGTGATAATCTTGTTGTATTGCGTAAGCGAGAGGCTAAAATAGATGAGAAAAATAAAAGAAATCTGAATCTCTTATTGACTACTGTCGCGTGCCCAGTGCGACAATGTTCTGAAGGATAGAGAATCTTCTCTAACAAAAACTAACAAAAGGTTATGTAAT